GGCCGGTTGGTGTAAAGGAGAGCATCCAAGGAAAAAGTTTATCTTTAATTAAATGATTTTTTTTGGCTCACCATACCAAATAGCAAGGATTGGTGAACAGGAAGTGCTACATCAGCCATTTTGCCAAATTTGCTGGTGGTCATTTTTTTTTAAACTAATAACTTGTAATTTACTATTAAAAGAGTCAGTTTGGTCTAATGTTTAAGGCATAGTACTAGAAACCAGGGTACTGTGAATTCTAGTCTTGCCTTAGGCATGAAAGCCATCTGGATGATTTTGAACAATTCATTCTCTCTCAGCCTACAATGTCAGATTCAGGCTATAAACCAGTCAATCAATTCCTGTCACAACCAATGGATCAACACTCTGCTGATCTAAAAAAAAACATATCTTGCAATTGTAGGAAAATGCTAGAGTAAAAAAACCAATTAAAATAAACAGATCAGGATACAATATGTATTAACAAAGCCCTGTATAAGATGTAAACAGAATAAAAGTGTAATAGTTACTGCACATGACAGGGCAATATGTTTGAAGATATATTAACACATCTGTATTTATAAATCTTTCATTTCTGGTATAGATAATATTATTGTATTTTTGATTTGTGTTGAATTTTCATTTTGTCTTCTTGATGGGAAGTAAATATAACTATGCAATATTCTCTTGCACTAAATGAACATGCATTTTAAAGAAAACACTGCATGAAAAAAGCAATACTCCACCCAGTCTATTTCAAATTAAGGCCAAAACCACAATTCTAAACTTCAGAATTTTACATACTGATTATTTTAAATAACTCAAGAAAAAACAAACAGCAGCAATTAAATTCCAAATTAAAACTGATCACAAAGCAGACCAAAAGAAAGGTGGAAGGAATTGCTAGAAACAATGTCAGTAGTCATATCCATAAAGTCAGTCTATACGAGCTATAAGAACAATTAAACATATTTTCACACACTTGATGTTCTACCAAATATCTTTGTAACACACTAATATTCTTCTGGAAAAAATATGCAAGTATATTTTATGATTTTATAAACTGATGACTGTCCTGATGTCCAAAACAATGATTATATACTACTTAAGGCTTGATGTTAAGGTTTGTCTCAATTCTGAATATAATTTTCTTCTTTGAAAGATAGAAGAAATTTTACAGTTGCATATTTTTCTACTAAAAAAAAAAAAAGAATTGCACTATAGAAAGTTATGCTAAATGTTTAGGTTATAAGACCAATATCACTTTAAGCAGACAATATAAAAAGAAGATGTAATTCCAGTTATTCAATTCAGTTTTTGTACTTGATTTTGCAAATCACTTCAGAAAAAAACTTAAATTATTTAAGTTTTAATTAATTATTTGGATGCCCATGTCATCCAAATGTATTGGACAAGAATTCAGTAACTATCAATGAGCAAGGCTTCAGAGAAGGCAGGAAATTTAGGGAGGACTTCTTAAGCTAGTGAAATTTAAACATATAGACAGGAATTCAAAAAATGACCGCCCCCATTGCCATCTTTACAACTTCTGAATGCAAAAGGAACTAAAACCCATGGAGTGCATGAATCGTATTTGTCAAACTATTTTTTTGAAATCTCTCAAGTTCACTAAGAAAAACAGCTTGGAATATGAATATATCTGTTTAAAATATAAGCAATTCTCCTTCAGCTCAAAATGTTGCAAAAATCTAAGACAGATTCTAATTGTCTTATTAATTGCAGATTAGTTATGCCTTATGATGGCATTTAGATCTTTTCCGATTCTTGCAGCGAGTGTTTCATAATACTGCTTCCAATCAGTTTACAACAGGGATGCATACCATAAGACAGCAGCTTTCTGAGAAGTTGTATGTATGTATGTATGAATATATGTATGTATAGAACAGCACATCATATGCACTGTGATTTCTCCTGCTCTGGAATTCTTTAATCAGAGGTTGTTGATCATCTGTCAGAGATGCTGTAGTAGACCATACACTGAGCAGGTAGATGAACTTCTAAAGATTAAGGTCCTTGCTAACTACCTGAGGAATTGGCTACAAGAATCCAAAGAGCAACATTATTATTATTCAATACAATACAAAAGAAATATAATAATATCAAATCTTATTTCAAAAACAAAGCAAAAATTTCTTTTATAGTACTATACCATGGCTAAGCATCAAGTCAAACTTGTTTCCTACTTCTTTAGATTACTTGTATACATATGCTTTTAATTTTAGAAACATTTCTCACTCTACTTGTAGATGTTTCCTTAAGTGATACCAGGGTGTGGACAAGCCAATGCTATGCGGATAAGAAAAGCATTCACCACATATCATAGGAGTGGTCTAATTTAAAGAAAAACAAACTATAAATAATTGTCTGTTTTGTAAGTTACAGAATGAGATATTTTTAATAGCCATTTTCTAAAATGCCTATCATTCATACTGAACATAATTTATAATTATAAACACAGAATTTATGCAGTGCTGCCTTGTTTATTTCTTATTTGCCTACTACATCGGTATGTTGCCTATTCCCAGAGGGTCTAAGCAGCTAACAGATGTGCCATTCTACAATTTCTAGATTTCTTAGTCTTACCAAGTTGGATTCCAACATACCTGGAATATATAAGATTGGTGCAAATTAGCTCAGTGACAGATCATATGCATCACATACCAAAAGTCTCTACTCCAGGATGGTCTTGGAGAGTTGTAGCCATTTTTCATAGCACTTAGCCTAAATGAGTGGTAATATTTCAATAAAGTGTTTGTCCTTGGTTGAATTAATTACAGTTTACTCAAGTATCTCCATTTTCTGAGTTTATGACCTGAATCAAGGGCTAAATCTTCACAATAAATTATGATAGAATATGTCTGACATTTATATTTCAGTGTGGTGCCTGAATATAGAAATATATGGTTTTACTTGTCAAGGTTTCTATGCTCATGCTAAAAGTTAAATAGCAACATTTAAAGCTACAATTATTTTCCACATGATTGTAGGACTTACAATCAATGAAACCAAAATGGCTGAATTTGCAAAACCTCCTAGTCAAAGCGAAACACTGCCTTTTTCCTTCAGTTTCCTAATCCAATTTCTCCATTTTAAAACTTTGGATTAGCTTCAATAGAACCTGAATTCAATCCTCACAGCATTAACTCTCTGAAGAGGAACTTTTATCAGAGGAAAGATCCTAGTCTCGACAGTCAAACTTGGTATTTTGCCCAATTGTTTCTCCGGGTAAGAAAGACCAACATATTGAGAAAACATGGGAAATTTACAAACATCAATATAATAACATCTGGTCTCTCCATTAAAATTCCTGAATGAGCCAAAAAAAGAAAGAAAGAACTCTTTTAATGGAAACAGTGCACATAGTCTCTGTATTCTATGAGACTTTTCTACTTGAAAAAATTATCAATGACTTATACTTATATAGGCACATACTGAACCATAGCTTGATCAACAGAATATATTCTGCCATAAAACATGCTACCAAACAACATCTAGTTCATAAATGTGTAAAGCTGCATTATGTTTGGTATGGCCTCAGATTAATCTGAAGCCAGCTGGTGATCACCTTTTGGTTTGTGCACACTCCTAAACATTTGTTTGCTTAACCATGGCTTGTTAAATAACCTTTTCATTTTACGTAAGTCTATAAATAATTTGTAAGTTACAATAGTAGATTCACACAAGATCCTAAATAGCAATCAAACAAACTGAATTTTAACCTACTCTTGCAACTCACTCAAGTATCCTGAATGTTTTTGTATGTGCCACGTTTAAGGCAGAACTTGGGGAAAAACTTGTCTGCAAATTTTGTCCTCTAAACTTTTCCACTATAGGATGGCTGGCAGTGGAAAATGAACTCCTCCTATCTGCTTGACCCTCACTGGGCTTAAAGATTAAAGCTGGATCCCACAGTGAAATCATGCACATAACACCCATTCCCAAAGAGGTTATTATTTATTTATGCTTTTATTCTGCGGGGGGGGGGAGCTCCTAAAAGGCACAGCCAGTGTGAGATGGCAGCAGAAAGGCAGAAAAATGACAGCCTGAGTCAGAAAGAAAAATATCCATTACAGGACAGACCAAGAAGAACATTTGCCAAAAATGGTCGGACGCTTCATCGGAGCGGATGTCACGAAGAGCGGGGCACTCGGAGGACACCTGCAAGTCCCAAACCCCGGACTAGATCATGTGCAGAAGCCCCACCTCACCTCCTCCTCCTCCTCCTGCCCCGCACCACAGTCCTCTGATGCGCGCAGGTCGATCTAAGGAGCAGATCCAGCCTCCCGCCCACCCCGGGATCCCCAGAGTGAGCCAGCCGCCCGCCCCCCCCCGTGCTGGAAGGGCCCCCGCCGCTCCAGCCCGGCTCCCTCTCCACCACCGCTACCCTCCCCGAAGGGAACACGAGGCGGGCGCTTCTTGCACGCCTTGCGGGGGAGGCTGCGAAGGATGGGAGGTGGTCACAAAGGGAAAGGGGAGGACGGCACAGGGGGCGAAGGGGAAGCCTGGCTCGGCACGGAAATCGTAGCAGGCAGCCGTCGGGGGAAGCCCAAAGGCCAAAGCCTGGGTGCCGGCAATAAGGGTAGGGCGCTGCGCTAGCCTGCGAGTGTCGACGACCAGAAAGCCTCTCTTCCGCGGGGAAACACAGCCTGCCGGCCTGGCCTTCCTCCTCCTCCGCAGCAAAAGGGGGGCGGCTCTTCTCTCCCACCTCGCGCTCAAGCCTCAGCCCGGAAGGCTGCTCCGTGCCCCGCGTGGCCTCCGCCTCCCTGATCGCCATTCCTGGGTTGTTGCGGCCGCCTCCGTCCCTGCCGCAGGAAATCGGCTCAGGGGACGGGCGGGCTGGCTGGCTGGCTCCAATCTAGTTCACCACCCGGCCGGGCCGACCGCGCGTTTGTGCAACGCGGTGCAGCTCCTGGGCAAGCCCTGGGCGGGCATGGCTGGCAGGAGCCTCGGAAGGGCGGCGGCGGTGGCTCCTGGGGGCGCGTCCGCCAAGGCGACCCTACCCTTTGGAGTGCTCCGTCTCCTCCTCATTGTCGCCGTCGATGCCGCAGGTGTCCTGATCGTCCAGCTCGAGGCTTTGCTGACTGGCGGCAGACTCGCTGTCCTCCGCCATCACGGGGAGAAGGTGGGTGGGAGGGGAGGAGGGACTCCCCGACAGGAGCCTATGAAATGCAGCCGGTCCGACGCGCAGGCAGATGGGCCGCAGCCGCCGGAGCAGCGCCTCCTAGCGGTCAACTCCCTCGGATGCTGCCAGGCGGAGGTGCATCCCACCCACCCCCCCTCCCCGCAGGTAGAGATTCCCCCGATGCCCTCCTGCTTGTCGGAGGAGCTGGATCTTGGACGGCGGGTAACGGTGGCTCTTCAATGGATGCCATCGCTCGTCGGCTCTTCTGACAGGCTCCCCGTGGGCGCTGCTCCGCCCCTGCAATTACATCCGTCCAACAGCCCGTTGAGGTAGGTTAGAGCGAGAGGTCAGTGGCGGTGATGCCTGGCCCCGTTTGAAGCTGGGCTGCTGAAGGAAGCGCCCTGGGCTGGGTTCATTCACGCCTAGCCCAAATCCGGCAACTGCGTTAGGGTTGAGCAGCCTGTCGTCAGTTCAAACCTTTAAGGTCGGAGTACAACAGGTGTACTATGAGATTGGCTGAGCCTCCCTTCGTGCACACACACGCACATACACACACCATCACAATACAACTCACAGTGAAAGACAGAAAATCCCTATCCCATTGAATCCTGCTAACAAACACCCAATCCTATTGCACCATGTGAAATTATTGCAGGTCGCCCGGCAAGTCAATGGTACTATGTTGTTGTGGTTATTTTTCATTCAGGAGTCTGACAGCCCAGGGATAAAAACTGTTCTTTAGCCTGTTTGTGCGTCTGCCTATGCTTCTGTATCTCCTTCCTGATGGTAGGAGAATAAAGAAGCGCTGACCAGGGTGTGAGTCATCGCTGAGGATTTTTCTCACTCTTCTAAGGCAACGAGTCCTAGTGATGTCATCTAGTGGTATCAGGGAACAGCTCATGATGTTTCATGCTGCGCTCAACACCCTCTGTTTTTCTATCCGCGGCTGTCAGGCCAGCATATCACACCATAATGCACTTAATAAATACTGTATTCATTTATATTTGACAACACATGAACGGCTGAGGTAACTCTTTTATTAACTGCAACCGACAACCTAACCAATTAACATATACATGCGAACGAACACCCGAGCCCTTCTTGACAGCTCTTATATACTCCCTGTCAGCTAGGCCAACCAATCACAACACGTTCCCATATTTATTCATTCCAACAGGGGGCCTAAACATTAGAATTTGCCCAGTACACAACACCCCTTTATCCCTAGAACGCACATGCGTAATCCCGCAGGTGCCCCGGCCAACGGCAGACTCGACTGGAGCGGCGTGGGACTACCGGTTCTGCTTGCTGACCCTGACCTTCGCTTATTTTCTGCGCCGTACAGCGACAGTTACTCCTGGAGTCAGGTAAGTCGTTATTTGGCTCGGAGACATAGCTAGGGGTCTGTCTCTCCGCAGATGACCGTTCGCTTAACGAGGCTGTATCCCTCTGGCTGCTTGCCATTTGCTGGTCTTGTGGCAGCCGGTCCCCCAATAACCCTCGGAGTGAGGGCAGGTGAGCTTGATTTAGGCGGGTGTTAGCTTTTGTCGTAGGGGCCTCATTATCCTGATTAATGTCCGTGTCTACCTCGCGTGGCCCCGTCCCCCTGGCTCTAGGGTCGTGCCTAACGCGTATCTTGTCTAGATGCCGCCTCCACATCCGATTTTCCCCCATGTCTATCTTATACGAACATGGGCCGGTAACCTCTGCTATAACCCCAGGAAGCCATAAGGGCTGGCCCGTATAGTTACGGGCATAAACCAAGTCCCCTTCCTCCAACCTGCCAGTGGCCCGGCTGGAGAGTAACAGAGTACGGTGCATGTATTCTGGATGTAATCTGTCCAGCACAGTACGCAAACGGCGGGCCATGAGAAGCTCCGCAGGGCTGCGATTGGTCAGGGGACACGGAGTGGAGTGCTGCGTAAGGAGATACTCAGATAATTTCGATTGCCAGTTGATAGTTCCCATGCGCCCTAATGCATCTTTCGTTGACCTCACTGCCCTTTCAGCCCAGCCATTACTGGCCGGATGGTAAGGAGAAATAAGGCAATGGCGAATCCCGTACCCTGCAAGGAACACTTCAAACCCCGTGGAGGTCAATTGAGGGCCATTGTCGGACACGAGTTCGTCCGGCAATCCGTGGGTTGCAAACAGAGTGCGCAAAACACGGCAGAGTGCCTCTGTGGAGGTGGAGGTCACGGCCACCACCTCGACCCATTTGGAAAAAGCATCGACCAGGACCAAGAACATCTGGCCGTGGATGGGCCCCGCAAAATCCACATGCACATGGGACCAGGGTCCCCTCGGTTCTTCCCACTTAGCCTTAGTCTTCGCGGGGGTTGGGTGGATGCCGTGGCGGTCGATAAGGAATCTGAGGAATTCCACTTGTGACACAGCAACAAGACACTTGTCCTTTTTTTTTTTTTTTTTTTATTGCAAAAGTTTTACAATTACATTTTCACCCCTTTTTTCACCCCCCCACCTCCCTCCCCAAACTTCCCATCCTCCCTAACCCTCCCTAACCCTCCCCCCCAGACTTCCCTATTATGTACTCATAACTAATAATACTGATATATATACCTGAACCCATCCCTCCCCCTATATTATCTTCCCTCTTTATCTCTTTACATTAAGATATTTCTAATACATTATTTTCAAATAAAAGCTATTTGGTACTTTCTAGTTTGGTATTTGTTCTGAACATATTCTATCCACCTTTTCCATTCCCATTCATAAGTCTCTTGTGAACAATCTTTTAAATATGCTGAAATCTTCGCCATCTCTGCAAAACTGGCCATCTTCGAAGTCCATTCCTCGATAGTAGGCAAAGCTTCATTCTTCCAATATTTACCTATCAACAATCTTGCTGCTGTTATCATATACAATATTAATTTTATTTCACCCCGTGTAAAACCCTTAACTATACCCAATAAAAACAATTGTGGAGAAAATTGAATTTTTTTCTTCAAAACATTCTGCATGACCCACCATATTTTTATCCAAAAAGCCTTAACTTTCCTACAGGTCCACCAAACATGATAATACGTAGCATCCAAACATTCGCATCTCCAACATTTTGGCTGAACATTAGGGTACATACATGACAACTTTTTAGGATCTAAATGCCATCTATAAAACATTTTATAAAAATTTTCCCTCAAATTCTGCGACTGTGTAAATTTAACATTCTGAACCCATATTTTTTCCCATGTTTCCAACATCACTGGTTCTGCAAAATTTTGTGCCCACTTAATCATACAATCTTTAACCAATTCAGTTTCTGAATCCCTTTCTAACAAAACATTATAAAGCCTTTTAATATGCATTAGACCTTTCTCTTTTATATGTCTAACCAATTCTTCCTCATGCATCATTATACCAATTTTTTGGTCCTCTTTCCATCTCAATTGAAGTTGATTATACTGTAACCAAGTTAAATTAATCCGTTCTTCCAGCAGCGTTTCTAAAGTCTTCAGTTGCCATCTGCCCGCATCTGCAAAAAGAACTTCTTTATATAACCCCCCCCCCGAGTGACATTATATTTGTATTCCACATGATATGACCAAGATCCAGCCATAGCGGTATTTTGTAATCCCATTTGAGTCGGTGCTTCTTCCAAACTCTCATCAAAGAGTCTCTAAGTATGTGGCTTTTAAATATTTTATCTACTTTGTTCTCATAAAATAAGTAAGCATGCCAACCAAATTCAAGATCAAAACTTTCTATATTCAATATTCCGGTCTTTTTCCTTCCAAACCAATCACTTGCTTGGGTCAAAGCTGCTGCTTCATAATATAATTGTAGGTTTGGAAGTTTAAGACTTCCCCTTTCTGGAACATCTTGCATAATTTTCAGTTTCACTCTCGGTTTTTTCTCGTTCCAGACAAACTTATTCAGTCCACTTTGCCATTCTTTCAATTGTTTATCACTTTTAAGCACCGGAATCATTTGAAACAAAAAAAGAAATCTTGGCAAAATATTAATCTTAACTGCTGCTATTCTTCCAAGTAAAGACAGCTGCAGTTTTTTCCAAGTCTCCATATCTTTCTGTATGTCTCTCCACAACACCTCATAATTATTTTGAAACAGTTTCATATTTGATTCTGCAACCTGAACTCCTAGATATTTAACCTTTGGTACTATCTCAAAACCTGCCTTGCTTTCAAGTTCGTGTTTTCGATCTTGTGTCATATTTTTAACTATCATCTTAGTTTTTTTCTGGTTCAATCTAAATCCTGATACTGTACCATAATCTTTTATAATGTCTTTCATCTGGATTATTGATTCCATCGGCTGTGTTAGGGTAACAACCAGATCATCTGCAAATGCCCTTATTCTGTAATCCTCTTGCCTTATCACTATTCCTTTCAAGGTGCTCGAGTCCCGTATTGTATTCAACAAGACTTCTAATGTTAAAATAAATAACAATGGGGATAACGGACAACCTTGTCTTGTTCCTTTTTCAATATTAAAATCTGTTGTCAAACTTCCATTAATAATAATCTGTGCCTTTTGTTCTTGATAAATTGCTGAAACCGCCTGTATAAATTGATCCCTAAAGTCCATCTTTTTTAAAGTCTTTAATAGAAAATTCCAATCCACTCTATCAAAGGCCTTCTCCGCATCCAAGAAAACCAGCACTGCAGGGATCTGTTTATTCTTCTCAAGATATTCCAATAAATCTATAACTTGCCTTACATTGTCCTTCATGTATCTGCCTTCTATAAATCCCGCTTGGACACAATGAATCACCTCTTGAATAACTGGCATCAACCTGTTGGCTAATACTTTTGCAAATATTTTATAGTCATTATTCAGAAGAGATATTGGTCTAAAATTCTCAGGTTTTTAAGGACCTATTTGCTCTTTCGGTATCAATGAAATATAAGCTGTTTTCCATGATGGGGGTATTTTACCCCCTTGTTGTATACTGCAAAATAAATCTTTAAGATGCTCAATCATTTCTGTTTGTAAAGTTTTATAGTACACCGCAGTTAAACCATCCGTCCCAGGAGCTTTAGCTGTTT